TGCCGTTTGTGGGAGCTTTTCTGTCGCTGCGTAGGGAGGATCACTACCTAGACAGGCCGGTTTTGGTCTGTCAATGCTAACACAATATATGATATTACCTAGTTGAATAACAAAGAGTTTTGGGTGCCATACCATGACTTAGAAGGGTCCTTCGTATGGTAGACTAAGGGGTGGTTGTGTTTTATCACATCTCACCCATACACGGGAGCAAGAGTCCCAGTCCTATGGTAGTTTTACATGCCTCTCTTGGTTGTTCTTGTGAGGGAGTCGGTGTTTAACTAACTGTTTTCGGTATGCAAGAGAAAGTGCCCGTTTCATAGTTCTATTTTGTATTTTACAATTGTCTTGATAACAAAAATATTTCGCCACAAGCCGTCTACCAAGATATAACTTTATCCTGCAGCCTTTTATCACGCTGAAAAATAGAACTCTAAAACAAGCACGTTCTCTTCCATGCCAAAAATATTCAATGAAACATAATAGTGGAGGGAAGATTTGTGAATCCATGAGGCCTGTCACTATTTGAAAAGGGTAAGAGTAAAATATCTTTGACCAAAATGGATAAAATAGCGTACATATTTGCGTTAATGCTAACAATAATAATACAGCAAAAATGAAGTATGCAAGTAAATTACATTCCTTAGTTCTGCCTATTACCTTTGATGGGTCGTCATAAAGTGGTTTTCTAATACTATCGCGTCTTCTGAAAACACGAGTGTAGTCTTCCAACTTGAGGTGTTTATGGCTGCTTGAGTTGATTTTATGGGGGATGATACTGTAGGACTTCTACAAAACAGTATGCTATAGCCATTCAAATGCTGTAAGCGATTAATGAATTCAGAAGGATGAGTTGAGTAATCAAGTACGAGCTTTATCTTCTTTATGATCTGTGAGGCTTTCTTCACCTATTGAATGATGAATTCTTCGCCGTGCGTTTGACTGGGTTTCCTCCTTCACTTCCTCAGTGCCGCACTTTCGAAGATAACGTTTGGAAACGTCTTCTACAATAATACGACCTATTGATTGGAATGTCAGTATTCGTTACGACATAATTCTAGGATCTTAGATTGGTGAGCGCATCCTTCCGATAGTTGGCTTTGCATTTTATTACATTTGTCTGTACTTTATAGATTTTTTGGTTTTTCCACTCGTAATTTCTTTTTAGTTTAATCTTTATTCGTTACGATTTCTGGTTTTCCAATAGTAGAAACTGACTCTAGAAACTCTTCTTTTTCAAAGGTGGATTCTCTGGTAAATGCCAAAGTCATATTGCCTGAATCTGACCTACATGAACCAGAACCATCGTAGGAGCACAACTTCTAACTGCATAGCATTAAGTCTGAAACCACCAGGTATAAAGGCTTGTGTTCCTAGTTACCTTATGAAATCATCATGGAGGTGCGGGAACTTGTAGTTCACCCTCCGCTCGTACAAGCTTACTCCGTACTTAAGCTCGAGGTGGCGATACCCATCTCTATATCTGAAAGCCAATGGTCGTTTTAAGAGGAAAACACGGAAGACAGACTTCCATCCTAGTTCTTGTGCTTCCTTCAACGGCTGTGGGGGATAACACTGTGTGAGAGGCTGTACTGAAACAAAGCTGGACGCAAGCCTTCCCTAATTATGTGCAAAAGGCACTGAACGTTCAATACCATGGCTTCTTTCAACTGTTAGCACACATTACTGACCGAATGTGGGAGAGGAGACAAAATAAGGAAGGGAGAATGGACTATAAGAGTAAGAGATAAGACCCAATAGACCTTGAATTTATGGCCGACGTTAGTAGTGAAAGAACTTGCACACTGAGTGATTGAGGTAGATAGTCCAATAGAGAAGTTTCTGTGTGAAAGAGTAGACCCAAACAAGCCAAATCAATAGAACAATTCAATTAGCGTCACTGGCGCACAGCCAACAAAATGCACATAACCACGCGTTTAGCCTAAACCACCTCACAAGCAGCAGGAGGACGATCAACCCCTCCTCAGATAATGATTGATGAGAATGTCTACTCGAATAATCGCCTATTTTACATCAAACAGAAACTCTGGCACAGACCACTTGGTCAAGTTACAGGCCGCTAATAAAACCTAAATCACGACGTTCGGGCTGGAATCACTGACTCTTATAGACTGTGACCAACCTATTATGGATAAGGTTTTATTTTGATAAGTCATACAGTAATATTAACTGATGATGTTTCGAGCGCTAGTTGTTGCTCATAGCTATATCAAGTTACTGACAAAACTTTTCCTTCATTTATATACATGTGTGGAATTGACTAGATATTTAAATAAAAATCAATATGGGATAATGTACATCCAGAAATAATAATATGAGTGTTATTGATCAATTACAATCAGATGGGAAATAAGACGAATGTTTTTCTGTAGTCAAAATAAGCAATTTGTTAGAATGTTATGATGTACGTGAATTGAAATAGAATTTTGAGATTATTTATTATCCTCCTCTGATTTGACTGGCGGTAATAATATCCCCCATATTTCTGGTATTTGCATTGAGTCATTTCTGTTGCATGTGTTCGGTGTAGACTCAATAAACTAGGATTCAGTAACTTGATATGATTATGAGCAATAATTTGTGCTCGAAACGTCATCAGTTAATATTACTGTGTAACACTGTTACCTATCAAAATTAAATCTTATCCATAATGGAGTTATACTCTACCACAGTGCCCAAGTTTCATACTTGTGCAATCCTTGTCTTACACTTTCTGGAGCGATATGACTTATTAGTGGATACCTGAATACCAAGGAAAGAAACCTCCCGGTATGCAAATGGCAAAATGAGCGAGTAGTATACGCTGAAATAACTTCGATCTCCGCCAGTGTCAACTAAAATGTTCTGGAAAATGCGAATGGAGTCCCCACATCTAACAGCTACCAACTCTCAAACGTCTGAGGCTGGACTGAAAATTACGCATACGATGAGGACACCTGGCACTCATTCACTTTGGTAGGCATCAATTCCATATTATATGTTATATCACAAACCACCATGATTTAATTTGCTTGGTCTTGATTAGTTAGATAAGCTCAATTTGTCAAATGTTCTATCAAATTCAATGTGTTCTAGTGATATTTTATCCAAAAATCCTGTCTATTTTTGTTATTTCTACATTTCTAACCCCTAATTGCACAATATGTCAATCTTTTCAGTAATTATGATGCTACTTTGTTTGAGTTTTATTCGCCCCTCTGTTTATAATAACATTTTAATTCCTAATTGTAATTCTATTAATTCGACCCTTGACCGGAAATTATTCTGGAACTTTCCCACCCACTTATTATAAACGCACGAATGCACAGGCTAGTTGATGATTTCGTCGAAATGAAAATTTTCTTCGTTGCAACTGTCTTTTTATTATTCACATTGATTTAAATTAGGCAGATATTTTCCCTAAGTATTCGATATACTTTGTTGCTCATCTTGGAACAGATCATTTTATTAATGTATGTGCTGAAGACTGTTCAGAAAAAAAACAAGAATTTGAGAAGTGGTCACCTACTCAGTCTGTAGATGAAAATGTTAGATACCAATCAAGGCAGACGTTAAGTAAACAGTGTTGGCGTGATAAAGGAACATATTTTAAGTAAGTGTAGCAATATACACAATCTGCTTTAAAAATTTGAATGAAGACAGTTAAAAGTCGACGTCCAACTGTTATTAAAACCAGTGGGTTTCATCCAAACTAGTCAACGGGATTATTAGGTACAGTTTGACTGGATGAATACAAGTTAAATTAATGAAAAGACTGGCATATACATAAAACAGACTTCCCCCCTTTTACGGCTTGCTTTTTCAATGATCAAAGTTGAAACGCAATAGAAATCGCCAAATATATCACACGACACTTCTAATACTTTCTTAAGTCACAATTGACACAAGTAGTCTAGTAACGTGATATTTAAAACGAAGTATCTTTATAGACTTTGAGAAGGCCTTCGACAGCGTTGACCGTGAAGTAATTTGGAAACTACTCGAGTACTACGGCGTACCCCAAATATTCATCAAGCTTATTCAACAGCTGTACGACAGCGGCACATGTCAAGTCATCCACAACGGAAAACTGAGCGAGGTGTTTGGAATAAACACAGGAGTCAGACAATGGTGCTTATTATCACCAATGATATTTTTAATTGTGGTGGACTGGATCATGCGTCAGACAGTGGGAAACGAGAAGACAGGAATATCCTGGACCGACGTGAAGAACCTAGAAGACCTGGATTTCGCGCGTGGATGATTTATGTTTGATGTCACTGTCACAAAATCGAAGACTTACAAGCGAAAACCGACAAACTGGTCGAAGAAGCAGCCGGCGAAGACAGGACTCCAGGTGAACATAGACAAGACGGAGGTTATGAAAATAACCAACCACCACCACGACCAACAGCAGCAACATCCAGCGCGAATCATCATTAACGGGAGGGATTTGAAAGAGGTCACTTCATTCACTTATCTAGGGAGCATTGTCTCAACTACAGGAGGAACGGACAAGGATGTCAAATCGAGGATCGGGAGGGCGAGAAACACATTCATCAACCTGAAACCAATCTGGAAATCTTCGTCACTCAGCATCAACAACAAAATTCGGTTGGATTTTCAATACAAACGTCAAGTCAGTTCTTCTATACGGATAAGAAACTTGGCGGGTCACAAAGAATATTTCCAACAGCCAGTTGTAGACATTTATCAACAACTGTCTTCGCTGGCTCTATACTGAAGATCAGATGGTCGAACCGGAAAGAATCATCAATAAGGAACTATGAGAGCAAACAAAACAATAACCAATCGCCCGACAAATATGCAGGAGAAAGTGGAGATGGATCGGACACTCGCTGAGGAGACTGCTGGGTGACATTGCGCGTCAGCCTATCGCTCGAGTGGAACCCGAAAGGGAAGCGGTGTGTGGGACGTCAGTGCAAGGGTGACATGAAGGAGATCGTGTGAAGAGGAGTTGAAAGAGTATGGACTTACATGGATGCAGGTGAAAAGTACAGCAGAAGGAAGACAGAAGCAAGTGGAGACGTGCAGTTGAAGCCCTATGTTCCACTAGGAACCCAAGGGAACAATAATAAAAAAATAATAATCTTTTTAGCGGAATTAGTTTTGTAAAAAAAGATGTGACTGTCAACTGTTTAGTGACCAGCGTGCACTTTACCTCGTAATTGTGAAGTGCTTTTAATTTATTGAAATGCAGCAAATACGACTGGTTTGAAAATGCATCGGCTGCTTTCAGAAAGAAACAGATTTGGATAACGGCAAAAGTGAAATATGTTCTCAAAAGGAACAATCTGATTAGTATAAACTGAACAAGGAAAAGGTATTTTCATGAAAGATGCTTTTTTCATTTAAATGTCGTAGCAATGTGATGTGCAATGTTCCAGAAAACAGAAGTGGATCATATACTGCATATTTGCCACGCACAAGTAGCGAATAACATTAGGTTTTGACAAGAAAATAAACAAATAAAAACTATAAATGAGTATATAGTACACAAAATGGAAAGCATTATTCCAGCATAGCCATAAGGCTATCCGCTTTAGATTTAGCTTCTGCATAGACATTAGATTCGACATTGTAGAGGGGATTACGACATTCATCTAAAATCACCTCTTCTTCACCGGCCGGCCCTAAATCTGAAAGAAATTCAAATTCATCTACTGTTTGACGAATAAAATCCAGACGTGCAGACAGTTCTTTCCAACGAGATTCCGGATCCCATTTTGTACTATTTTTTGGTTTCACATCTGCTTCCTCTTCATCTTCTGAATCAAAAGGTTGTTTGTGTTTTTGAATTGGATCACAACCGCACAATTCATCTCTGACAAATACTTCTACATCTAGCTGAGGACGTGTATGACCAAGCTCCACCAAAACGGCCAACGCAAACTGACTTGGGTGAACCGTAAGGCATAAATCAGTTTGATACCACAGATTGATAAGATCTATACCTTCTTTACATAATTCATGAACAAGTTGTGCATCAGATCGACTGTCCTGTGCACCACAAATACGTCTCTAAATAGTGTGATTCAAGCAGAAACAAGGCAACAAGTTGTTTAAATGAGACAGCAAATTATTGATAGGAGAAGAGTAGGTATAAGAGGGAGAAACTTATGAGGAATATTTGCAATAAAAGAAATATAGGGTAAAATAAAGTTACCTGCGATTCTCATGAACTCTCAAAAGTAAGGTGTAAGTTGAAAATTTAACACCAAAGGAATATTATATCTGATAATATCCAATCAGCGACACAATTTCATAGATTCTTACAAGCATATCAGTAAAAGCAACACTGTTTATGAATTAACAATTCAAAAGTAGTTAATGGTAGAAGTGGATTATACACAAGAATATGTCTTCGAGTCACTACGTGTGGAGTTCAAATCCCAATGCATCTGCGTTGGTCTAAGAAACCCTATATTAATTTGGGACTTCACATAAAAGCGTCAGTGGACTGTGCTGTTTTCTCAAATATGTAAAACGTTTTGTGTCAAATAGACAAGATGTTATTGTCATCAAGAGTTTGGACATTTTACCGACTTTAATAAATGGGGCTTATTTCATTTTTATTAACTTCCTATTATTATTATTGATATTTCTAGTTGATGAGTACGAAATCAGTTTGAAATGAGCTCAGATAGTTCAGGTAAAATCGACAGTTGGTTAGGTAAGCGTATTGACTTTAATCCATACTGTACAGTGAAATGAGGATACAAAAAGTATCCTCCGACTATGATATATTGGGTGGGGCTTCTTAATGTGAAATGAATCCATTATCATTGAAAATTCTTTTAAAACTGTATAAGAATATTGCAATGCAATCTAGAATACAATCAACTCAATATCAACCCAATACTTTCTCACATACTGTACACAAAAACTTCACTCATTGTATGGTTACGTATCAGTGCAAGTTGAAATTATTATTTCGCAAAACTTTGAGAAGATATGGTAAATTCCCGAAGGTAGAGTTAAAACACTGAGACATATTTTTACAACTTCGGTTAGCCCAGAAGAGATATACAGTACAAAAACTAAATCAACTTCACACTATCATCTTTATTACAACACACAAACAGATACTGGAAAGAAATGTCACTCACCTGATACGCCACTAAATCGATTACAAACCCAGTAAATGCTTGATACGGTGTAAATACCCACAAATCATAACCCAAAGACTCAAGCAGGAAAAGTTCAGAATTAAGTACAAGATAACTGTATCGTTCTTGATTTCTGGGTATGTGTGAAATAAATGTTTGTAGGCCGATTGGAAAATCTGCTGCTTTGCAAGCAACATATAGGCAAGTTAACATAATGTCACGTGGGTAGAAGTCCATAACTGAATGATTAAGATAAAAGCGTTTGAAGTAGGTGACAGCAAAACCGTATACCTGAAATAATTCAAAAATACAAAGTAATACGTATTACCATGTCACACAGATTTTAGGTTGTAAACTCTCAAACACTGACTGACCGACTAAAAAGTAAAAGCAGCAGTTTACACAGAAATGTATCCATTTAAGTTGCAGAGCCCTAACATACTGAAAGCAGAATGACCGAGCACAAATTCGAAGGGGGAGACAAATGAATGACTACTGAGACTTCCGGAAGACGATAGCGTATGCAACTGCATCATTGTAAACCATGTCACCAAGAGTCTCTAAGCATTATATATGCTTACTTAACGAGTCCTTGAGAATAATCTTTGCTTAAAAACACTGTTTAGAAGACACTGTAATGACCACTTTTTACAGTAGTTCCGAAACAGTTGGAAACCACTCTTAAACAGTACAATTTTCTAGTCGGATTGAAGTCATCCAAGCACCGGACAGCCGTTTCGTTTGTTCATGGTCGGTACCCAGGTCACTTCAACATGGCCAGAAAATACTAATGTTTTGATGTGAGTACTTTACAACTACTCATATTAACCAGTAGTACATTCCAACCTAGTTAAATCACCATGTTCACAATCCATATTTTTTGGAAGAACATATATAAGTGAGTATTCCAGAATAATCTTCACGATGCCATAAAGTCAGATGTATATAGACTTGGATTTCACTTACATTTCAAAATATCCTATAATAGATTAACAGAAAAAAATTGAGGTTAATAAAAGGTGTTTACTTGATAATGACAGTGAAAAACTTACTTCATTCGGTAACTGAGGGCTCGTAAATTTACTAAACAATATTTTCATCAAATATACATAATGTTTAACAATTTTTAATTCTTGATCGGGGTCCAGCCCTACAGGTGAACTTTTCGCATTATTTGTTTCTGAAAATGCCTGTAATCGTTTAAGAGCAACCGCATTACAATCTGCACGAAGAGTGATTAACTCAGAAGGAGAAAAATGCCAATTGCAAAACTGGGTACTTGTTACATAAGCCTAATTGAAAAAGGAATAAAAATGAATAGAAAAGACAGCAGTAAACCTTCCTTTATTCAAATAAAATTGACATTAATCATTTATACAAAAATAATGACAAATACGTAAACTGATAGTTATTTAGTATGTATCATTTGCACAAATTCATGGAATATATTCAACTTTGTTCAGTGACTACAGGTATTTATTTTAAAAATCTCTGCAAATATAAGCAGTAATAGGCGGCATAACCGTAAGTAATGTGATACTACATAATTTAATATGGCGGCTAAACTTCTTTACAACTCATTCCTTAATGGTATTGTGAGGCTTTGTCAGCAAATAAGATAACCATGATTGTTGCTGTGCCAGTCAGTAGTCAATATTGCACTTCAGCACTGAGCCGTTCTCGAAACAGAGAACGTTAAATAACGGTGAATTTGTGCACTTAAGAATAAGTACAATATGGCCAACTTCAAGTGTGCAGTATTTCATGACGGATAATAAGCTGATGACTAATAAACAAAATAGCTTGTAGTATAAGAGAGTAAAACTTACGTAAGTGAAACTGAGACCCGATTCAATGACCAGCCCATGAATTCTAACTTCTAACCAATTCGTGATTTAGCGCGACCCCACCATTGTCGTTGGTGGGACATCCAACCACACACGTGACATCCAATTGGATCTCACTGGTCACGACTTCTCACTAGAACTCCATCCTGTAACAAGTCACTAGCGAGCATCAGATTAGTTTTCTATAGTTTTGGTTTGTATGGGTTAGTTATGTTTTTACAAGTTAATCACGGATTGATATCAGTTAGAGAACCATTGAAAACCAGGGAGTACTGGACAGCTGCTGTTTCATCCTAGTTTGGGAATCATCGGCAGTACGCACCCACTGGGATTCGAAACCAGAACCTTCCGGTTACAAGGCAAGCTTGCCTTGTGGGTGTGTACTGCCGATGATTCCCAAACTAGGATGAAACAGCAGCTGTCCAGTACTCCCTGGTTTTCAATGGTTCTCTAACTGATATCAATCCGTGGTCAACTCGTAAAAATATAACTAACCCTTACAAACCAAAACTATACAAAAATAAGTGAAACTTCCAGACTAGTGAGTATTATTTTTAGGTCAAGTAATCACTTATAGTTATTTGCTTCCTGTTCTCCTTTCTAACAATCAGAGGTTTGAGTAAATTAATACGTGTCTGTACTATTTTGATACAATGCTTTTCATTAAAATGACCTTCACTAAGTGTGAGAAAGGCATGATGCCTCTTTTCTGTTGAGCTAATGAGCACTCAGAAACACTGCATATAAACTAAGTTGTGGTGAGAGCTGGCTGTTAGCCAGAATTGGTGGACATTAATTTGCGTCAAAGATTATCTCCCAAATATTGGTCGTGAGAAAAATAGGAAGAAAGGCTGTGTACGCGGATACAGTTAAAAATATAGATGATCTGACATTCAAGAAACAGCCACAAAGAGATGCAAGGTTAACTTTCAGTGAGAAATAACCAATCAGAAGACTGTGTTTTTCTGCTAACAATAATCTATAATATGTACATGAAAATCCATAAATTTGTGTTGATTTCCTTAATAAACGATCTATTGCCTAGCCCTTGTCTTCTGTTGTTACAAAGTAACCCCTTATTAGGAATTCTACCTGTATCCCCTTACTGTGAGATTTGATTTTGGGTTCTAAATTTTATCAGGTAGATAGCATGCAGTTTTTACCAGAAACTACATCACAAACTAATATAATTCATAGTAGGAATTCAGATCCCACCTTACTCTGAAAAAAAAACGCTTAGGTTGAACCAGTAATTACCATCACTAGTATGAACAATCTTAGTTGTTAAATGCGCGCAATACATCTTGCAAAATGTTTATTAACTCAGTATGTCAGTCTTCCAGCCTATTAAATGCCATTATGCAACCAAGCAAATATAATAATCACATGGCCAGCTTAGACGATATGCATCCATCTCTCATATTGTATCATGGAATTGATAAAAAAAATATACCCTAGCAACCCACGACCTATCATCTAACTGCGCTCATTGAGGTCATATTTCTTCTATCTATAAGTGAATTTATTATCATCAGTATTTATGCAGTAGGTATGGCTCACTATGGAATATATGAATATGCTCATGGATTTCGAATCACAAGACGTAAAACATCACTAGAATTGCATATCTGACTCGAAATGTATTCAGGAGTACATTTGTTACAGTGAATTGACAGAAGATACGAATTACTTAATTAGGCTTTGTCAGAACTTGCAGTATTTGTGAAGTATCTCATACAAATTCAATTGTTGCATAAAGTTCCTTGCTTATAGTCTCAAAAACTAGGGCTTAAATTGAATGGTAGTCCCACTTATATCATATTTTTTTTCAAAGTCAAAAATCTACGTGTAATTACAAATCACCTTTTTTATCCAAGCAGTCTATCATTGGAAATGACTGATGAGTATAGCTTGTAAGTCTGTACACAAGTTGTAAACTTACATAGTGACCAAAGTTCATGTAAGTGAGATTTCATAGAACAATATTTTCGACGGAGCCTTCTGAAAATCAGGTCATTTTACAATACTCCACTAAATTACATAGGTGGTCATTGCCAGTAAGATGAGACTGTCATAAAAGTTTCGTCACATTTGGACAAAGACTTATCAAATCTCATTATTTTAACACGAACTTTAGGAAGAAAGATAATCTTTGTATTGGCTTTCTCTGGTTATGATGCACATTCACACCATTTTGTCCATGATGTATGTGACACCAACAGTGCTGGCAAATGCTGCCACAGAATAATCGCAGCTATTATATGGTATTTGTTATTGTACAATTGCTCTTCAGGTATATTTTTAGGCTCCTGGTTAAGAAAGACTTTCTCGCTGAAATAGAGACAGCTATACTCACGGGATATATTTTGTTTGCAGTGCATAATCGCGCAACTTCTGGTTGAATGTGTCAGTGTATATGAAGAATAAGAATATTTTTTAAACAGTGGAATCCAGAGCGTGAGTCCCACTCTATTCGGGATATGTCAACAAAATATTCCTGAATTCTATTAGGTGAAGTAACTTTATGATAAATGTCCATGACTACTCATTTCTATCATAGAACCTCACTCGCATAATTAATTAGACGACAACTAAGAATGAATGACATTACAGCAAAATCCCATGCAGTAACTATAATGAAGTGAACAACATAATAGTAAGGACGCTTCACAAAAACAATTTCAGTAGAAACGCGTAACTACAAACGAGGATTGGACGGATATCCGGTCACCGTATTTTTCGACGACTTGAACATCCACCAGTTACTGAAGGTCAGCGCCACACAGATATATATATATATATATATATATATATCTTGAGCAATATGTCAACTTAGCTTGTGAAAGCTGTGTACAGTGGAAAACATGATGATTCAGTAAAACACCATCTTAATTCCCTATGTACGCTTAAATCTTAATGTAATTACGAAAAGACAATTGAATCAAGTTTATAAGAACTACAAACTAAACAGCTTTAAATAGACCGACTGCATTCTAAACTTCATAACGACGTAGTCAGTCACAAATGTGACTGAATCAGTCATATTCCTACAAATCAGAAAAGATATCACACAAATATAGTATCAGTTTCACACAACAATTGCAACCGTTAATAAAATGTATCAACAGGGAAGTAAGAGAGAACAAAAAAACATTGTATCACAATTTTCATTTATTTCTCTTTACAAATGAAAGCAAGCAGTATAACACAAATTGTAATCATAAGGCGAAACACATATACACACTAAATTTGTCAAGAAGCAGGCTGATCTTGTTCCATCGGTGTAGGGCCCGAATCAGATGTAGTTGAAGCCTGTGTACTAGCTTGCGTAGCCTCAAACAATTTAAGATAAGAATCAATGTTATCGTCTTCAAAGATTGTGAATTTCATATCTTTTCCAACAATAGCGAGTGAACAGTTCTAAAGCATAAAAATGTCACAGGAAAGGGAATTACACAATAAATGTTATCGCTCAACACAGTATAAAAATAAAAGTTGATAAACGCTGAGAGTACTAACAAGATATTGTGAAAATGGTTAAGCGAATTACTGATTATGTCAAGAAAGCCCGATTTATGGACATCGAGTTTCTGTGGGTTTCCCGTAACTTATTGACATTAAACAGTTTACTCCCGAGGAAAAACAACTACTTGCAATCTTTTGAAACAAAACTATGGAATGTCTACAATCACGAAATTAAATAACAAGAATAGTCATCAAGTGGTGTCACCTTGAAAACATAGGTTTGCTGGTTTCTATAAGTATACTGCCCCGCTGGCTTATCCACATCATGCTGAGCATTAGTACCAGGGTCATTTTACCCACGTTTTACACAAACTGAAAACAATTTAGAGTCAGTAAAGTTGTACAATAGAAAACTTTTCCATTGAATGATTCCAGAATCGTCTTTCCCCATATTATGTTACGTCTTTGTGAACAAGTCACAGTGAACCCTTACTTCGTGTCGTGTTCTGTGTTCAACGTAAAAGATAAGTCTGTTGACCTCGTCTTTGTATTTCGCAGTTCACTTGCTCTTGGGAAGAAAGGTAAATAAGCCCGACAGAAAGTTGCAAACTGACTTTGCACTAATGAAGGAAATGTTGAGAATTCAACTCCCAAACATCCGATGAACTTTTATCATTGGCTAATAAAGATCTTATTATCTTCTTTTGCAACTTTCAAAAGAGAGAAAAACTTAATTATTTAAAATACAAGGCTCAATGTTTGTTTGCAAATGCATGTACAATCGCTAATTTGACTTTCACCAGCTTATACTTCAGTATATTATGCATCTGTGTCATTCACCAGTCCAACGGTAGGGTCTGCGTCCCAGCTCAAGTAAACGATAATCAAACAGCAAATATGCATATATGAAAATGAACATCGTGCATCAGACATTCTCTTACGTTGTATTACTTTAGTACATGGTAGTTTATTTCTTCAGTACTTTTAAACCTACATGTCTTTCTAAGTCATTTACATCGTGCATAATCCACTTAGTTGTCATTTCAACGTCTTGATTTGTAGCTAATGTTATATATATATGTGCACATAACTTCAAATTTATGTATGGGTGTGCATTTGTTAAATACTCATATAATTTAATTCAGTAAAGATAAACCTACCTTCGTATTCAAGGTAACTTCATTTGGCAATGTACTGTTTAACGCCTTTAAACCATGACAGATTAAGTTATCCAGAGATGAACCTTTAAACTCATCAAGGTGTCGTTCCAGATAGGTGCGAGCAGATTGAGATCGAGATCCAATTGCAATACACTTACAATCATACGCATTCGAAGAAGGACACTTGAATTTTTTTCAAGGTGAGGATTTAGAAGGGTTAAAAGTCATTTAAAAAATGGAGCACACAGAGATCAAAAATTTACACAAAGATTACAGAGTTAAAAATGACTACAGTTTTTTTCCCTTCACGTTCCCAGTGGAACATAGGGCTCCAGGCTAGAGGCTTGAAGTTTCTGTAGCAGTTTTGAGTTTATACAGGATGGGGTTGCTAGCCTCATGCTCAACCTTTCCGCTTTACCAGTCTCACTACTAGCTTAGCGAGGTAAAGGGTGTGTTAGCCGGGGATCGAATCCCGGACCATGTGCATGTTCGGCGAGCGTCCTAACCGCTGTGCCACCGACGCCGAAAATTGACTACAGTACCAAGCTACATATGTGTTAGTGCTTGTAAACAAGTGATTAGGACCAAGATAACCTTACCGTTACCACGATATCTATGGATGAATATTATTCTGAAGCGAACACTATGTCACGTGATAAATAATGTCTAAGGGAATCTTATATTATGCAGACCAACTAACAAGAGGGGAATACAAATTGGTGGAGCTATCTGAAAAGATGAAACAATTCTACGAGATACGTTCAGGAATTTTCTCTTATTCCACACTGCAAACCACTCCTGATCATAATCCCAACTATTATTACTGTTTCCTTTAGTTCTTAGAGGAACATAGAGCCACACATCTCCATTGCGCTCGGTTCACTGCCAATATCTTCATCTGCCTCCACGTCTACCTATATGCTTTCATCTCCTCTTCACATGACCTCCGAGTCACCCTTGGACGACCAACTCGCCGCTTCCATTTCGGGTTCCACCCGAGAGCCTGTCTTGTGATGTCACTTGATGGTTTCCTCAGAGTATGGCCAATCCATCTCCATTTCTTCCTGCCTATTTGTTGCACAATCTATTCCTGCTGGGTTGGTTCATTCCCAGAGATCCCTGTTGCTGATCTTTTCCGGCTATCTGACCTTGGGTAGTACTGAGCGAAGACAGCTATTGATGAAGGTCTGTAGTTTGCTTGAGGTGCTCTTCATGACGCGCCAAGTCTCTGACCCATAAAGTAGCACTGACTTCATATTGGAGTGGAAAATATGGATCTTATTTTTGATGCTGACTGCCGTTGACCTTTATACAGACTTGAGAGTAGTGAAAGCTTGCCTTGCTTTCCCGATCCTTGCTTTGATATTCTCGTCAGTTCTGTCTGCAGTTGAAACGATGCTTCCCACGTGGGTAAGTAAAGGAGGTTGCTTCTTTCAGAATTCTCACATTTACGCCGATTGTTGTCTGTTGTTGATGTTGGCCAGGAATCTTCATCACCTCTGTTTTCTCTATGTTCACCTGAAGGCCTATATTTGATGCTTCTTCTGGCTCATAATTTCAATACTTGATAAAAAAAATCTGGTGCTATACTGAATTATAATTTGTAGAACATCATTCAAAAGTTTTTGATGAGTTAGTAGATACTAAAGTAAAATAACCTGCATGTATCAGAACTTTATCAATAGCTGACTACCACCTTACTGATCCTAATAAACCTTGATATATGTGGAAAACAAGTTCAGGATGCAGATATTTTGGGTGAAAAGACAACCATGAGTTATTAATGCAGGCTTTTCTATCAAAACGTAGAGATCCAGTTTGTCACATTTCATATCTGCAAAGCGGTGAAGTTAAAAATCATACAGTCAAAGAATGTATGTATTCAGTTAGCATTTTCTTCGGGCGTATTGCAGGAAGTGGGACAGTTATCTGTAGTCTGCCCCAATAATTCTGCAGTGCGATCGAATACGATGGTAGCTCAGTAGAATACTGTGAAAGAGGTAGGGACGACAACATAAAGATATGTGACTTGAATGGCAAAATAAAAGAAGAGTACGCATTTATGTGAATGGTATTGATTCCGAGCCAACTAACATAGTTGTTTAACATACTTCATTTCCCTACACGACTCAGCCAATGTATAAATGCATTTACCAAATCACGGGTTTTCATCCAATCTAACCTTTCTTTCGTAAACACCGCAAGTTGAAAGAGAAGATGGGTAGACACGAACTAAACACCCCAGTCTTCTCAATCGACAGCTCCTTACAAATTTATTTATTTATTAACTTATTCTATTTAGGAACCAAAACTAAACGTTTGCATGGCTCACTGG